CGGATTTCTGTGAGCTCAAGGGCAGCCTGGTCTATAGAGTGAGTGCCAGAATAGCCAAAGCTACTCAGAGAAACCCTGCCTCAAAGAAATAAAGAGAGAGAGAGAGAGAGAGAGAGAGAGAGAAAGAAAAGGAGAAGGAGGGAGGGAGGGAGAGAGGGAGGGAGGGAGGAAGGAAGGGAAAATGTAAGTGATTAAGACATAAACACTATTATAAAATACATTAAATTGGTAACTTACTGTGTGCTTTTTAAACTACTGAAAGTGAACTGAACACAAGAAACACTTCCCTTATCTCATATTCAATCATGTTTATGTCAAATGTCCTTCAAAGTCTTAGGTCACATTGTATTCTTGAGAACAACTAGAAGGTAAACCATTGAAAACAGAGGTTACAGAGGTTGTGGAGAAAGGGGATCACTCCTCCACTGCTGGTGGGAGTACCAACTTGTACACCCACTTTGAAAATCAGTATGGAGATTCCTCAGAAAAATGGGAATAAACCTACCACAAGACCCAGCAATTCCACTCTTAGGCATATATCCAAAAGATGCCCATTCATACAACAAGGATGTCTGTTCCACTATGTTCAGAGCAGCATTGTTTGTAATAGCCAGAACTTGGAAGCAACCTAGATGCCCCTCAACTGAAGAGTGGATAGAGAAAATGTGGTACATTTACACAATGGAGTACTATTCAGCAGAAGAAAACAATGGAATCCTGAAATTTGCAGGCAAATGGATGGCACTAGAAGAAACCATCCTGAGTGAGGTAACCCAGTCACAAAAAGAGAAACATGGCATGTACTCTCTCATATATGGATGTTAGACATAGATCTGGGGAGGGCCAGCCTACAATCCCATGGCCAGAGAGTCTGGGGAACAGAACCTTCATGCAATGGTTGATGGAAACAGAAGCAGACTCCCACAGCTAAACACTGTCCTGAACTCAAGGAATCCAGTGACAGAGAGGGAGGACTGATTAGCAAAGGGGTTAAGACTGGGCTGGTTTAACCCCCAGAAACAGCTGACCTGACAAGGGTTAGCTCTTGAATCCCAGACTGATGGCTGGGAATCCAGCATGGGACTGATCAAGACCCCCCTGAATGTGGGTGTCAGTGAGGAGGCCTAGGCAATCTACTGGGCCTTGGGTAGTAGATCAGTATTTATCCCTGGCATACAAATGGACTTTGGGTGCCCATCCAATAATGAGAGATGCACTCACCCTGGACTCTTGGGGGAGGGTCTAGGCCCTGCCCTGGATCAAATGACAGACTGAGGATGCCCCCATGGAGGGCCTCATCCTCCCTGGGGAAATAAGGGAGTGGTGGGGCAGTTGGTGGGAGGGCATGGGAGGAAGGGAGTGAAAGGGAGAGGGACCTGGGATTGACATGTGAATCAATCTTGTTTCTAATTTAAATTTAAATTTTAAAATAAAAAATGAAAGAAAACAGAGGTTACTATTGTTTATCCCATGGTATAAAAGTGCCTGTGATGGGAATGCAAAGCTCAAAGTCCATCTGTGCAGGAAAAAACTCTATCAGGAACTCTTGCTAACAGTTTCAACACAGTTTCCCCAGTTGATTTCTGCTGGATGTTTGTGAGCCCACAATTTGATGATGTTACTTATGTTTGCTTTCTCAAGCTACTCTAGTCAACTCTGGAGAATCTTGTATCTGATTTAATGATGCATTGCTATCTGTCTGCTTCTTCTTCCTGTACTTACTATTTGTTCTTTTGCTTTTGTCTGATACAATAACTTACTCATTTGAAACCCAAAGTGCACCAGTTGTAGATCATTCTCCAGACCATACAAAACTATTAATAAATAATGACTATTGTTTACTTTTAATTTTCATTAAATATTAGACATTGTAATAAGAAATTAACACATGTTATTGTTCATTAACATTCTGAGGTAGTGTGTACACTTGTCATTTTCATGTACAACATGAAGAAGTAGGGATCAAAGATAAAATGTCTCATCTACAAAGAAGAAAAACAACTCAAGTTGTATTTACAGTGCTTTCACTTTTTCACATTTAATTTTGGAGAGACTGGGGAGGGGATCCTGAAGTTTCCTCTCCTACTGACTCCCTTTCCTTCTTTTCAGCTCATATTTCCATCTTAAACTCTGAGGTTTCAGGCCTGATCTACTTTTCTCTGTCTGTCCTCCATGACAATATGAATAGTTCCCTGCCATCACAGGGCATATTGAATGCCTCTTTCCCTACAATGATTTCCAAAGCAGTTCAAATAAAACATCAAAACTTTTACTAAAATATGGTTTGTCAGTCTTTACTATGTTATTACATACCTTCAAAGGAAACGGCCTATTTCAAATTAGCTTTATATTTTGGCAATGCTGATTTCATGCATCTGTGATTATTAACCACGGTTGTAAGCTTTATGAAATTAAGGGATGCCTAGAAAATTGGTACTTGACTCTATTTGATGATGTTTAATTCTGTAAGTAGAATTTAATAAGAATTGTTGGTGAATACAAAGAATCAATGAAGAGTTTGGTTCTTTGGAAAGATTGACAAAGTTGACCAGCCTTTAGTTAAAAATAACCAAAAGAAAGAGAAGTACCAAATTAGAGATAAAGGGAGAGACATTACAACAGACACTTAGGAAAATTATAAAATAATAAAATCTAAAATAAATGACTGAATTTCTAAATGCACACAAGGGCTCAAAAAGGCCATTATGATAACAGGGATGCAGAAAGGAAAGGATAAGATGTTGAGGGTTCTCATGGCAATGAAGATGATTGGAAATCATCTGTATAATATCCTGGCAAAGAATTTGGTTGAATTCTGTCCATATCTTGAGGGTCTGTGGAAGGTCTACCTTAAATGTAATGGCCTAAGTTATCTGCTGGAAGAAAATTCAAACTATCTCAGCACTTAGGTTATGACACTGAAGCTGACTCTTACTTCTAACCACACTTATAGTGGTAATCAGAAGCAATGAGGAACATAGCAGATCTTATTGGAGTTTTATGAGAAAAGGGACACATGAAGAAGAGTTTTCTTCCTAACACCAAAGAAAATTAGGTCAACTGTTTTCTGCCTGTACACTAGGAAAGAAGCTCTGAGTGTATCTCAGGGATCAGCAAGACCTCAACCACCATAGATAGAGTTGGAAAGACAGAAGTTTCAAAAGTGTTTAAGAGACTTTTCAGGGTAGAACCTTTTGGTAAGAGAATCATGGTACTTTAATGCCCATAGTATCTGAACAGTTGCATACAAGCAGTAGAAACCATTGCCACTATTGCTCAAGAGAACCCATGTCCATTTCATTTGGCATCAAACCTTGATGTTATCTACATGACACCTATTTTTCAGGTATACAAAACACAAGAGTCAGGGTCATAGTTTCTGCTGAAATTTCAAAGGAAAGCCTGAGACCAGCCAGTGTGTGTACTTCCTCACAGGGTGAATTGTGAAGCTGTAAGAATGAAATATGAATTATGACAGAGACCCCAGGAAGTTAGAGATGCCAGGTTGCACATCTGCTAAAGCAAGCTACAGGGGGAAAGCAGAGTTGAACTGAGAGGTTTTGTGGCGGGCAACAAGCACAGGCACCTAAGTGTACCACTCATGGGAGACCACACGGAGTTTGGGGATTTAATGTTTGGCTTTCTGAGCTTTGGTCTTGTTTGGGATTTTTCCATTCTGCTCTTCATTCCTCCCTTTTATAACATTGTGCACTGGGAGGGCACGGCGTCTTTTTCATTTTTACATGGGCTAATGGCTGAGCTGTCTTCAAGCTTAAAGGAGAGTTTGAATTTTTACTTTTGAACAAGGTTAAAATTTCTGAAACTTCAGACATTTTTGATATGGTTGTGAAACTTTGGGAAACATGTGTGCTCATACTTTGCTCTAATTTAGATCTTAAGCATTCAATAAAGGCCATGTGTACCTGTCGTGGCACTACTGGGAGGTGGTGGTGGTTGAAAGATAAAACCTAGGCGGTCTTGGTCATTACGAGTGTGTTCTTGAGAGGATGGTGGGACATCAGCCCTTTACTCTCTCTGTTCTGCTTCCTATCCCTGAGATAGGTTAATTTTGCTCCATCACACGCTTCTTTTGTGTGTTCCCGCCATGATGTACTGCTCTCTTGCCGTCTATCCAAAAGCAATGGCCTGAACTCTAAAACGTTCTCTTAAGTTTATTATCTCCATTATTTGTTTAGTAGTGAGAAGATGTCTGATAGTGCCCAAGAAATGCTTGCTTTAGTAATTGTTTGTACCTGTCAGCAAAAATATATAGCAATAACACACTCGATTTTAAAATTATATAACTAAACACCAGTGCTGTATAATGCTCACATACTCTCTCACTGAAAGAATAATAGTTGAGTGAAAGATACAGAAAAGCAACTTAGTGGAGCTGGGGAAACAGATCAGCGGGTAAGAGGGCTGGCGGGTGCATGAGCATGAGAACCTGAATTCAGATGCCCAGAACCCATACTAGAAAGTTGGGCATAGTCACACATGCCTGTAATTCCAACAGGGTGAGAAGCAAAAACAGGAAGCTCACTGGGGCTTGTTGACTGCCAGCCTGACTCCAGGCTCAGCGAGAGACCCTGTGTCAGGGAAATAAGGTAGAAAGTAATAGAGCAAGACACCTGACGTTCTCCTCAAGCCTCCACGCACACACGGGTACATGCTCACGTGCGTAAGGCACATGTGCATGCACCATACACAAAGGACAAAAGGCAACGGGCTTTCCAGGAAAAGCGAGTAGTGCAAAGGCGATGAGCACTGCAATGGGAAAAACACGGAGTGCAAGGGAGCCCCCGCCTGGCCTGCAGAGGTCAGTGAGAGATCAGTGTGACAAGGTGACTGGGAGACCAGTCAACAAAAACACAGAGCTGGAAGAAAGGAAAACATAAAAACAAATATATCTCACAGATTAAAATAAATAGAATTCTAAAATGCACACGGTGCACATACATACAGGCAAAATACTCATGTGCATAAAAAAAACAAATCAGAAGTATTTTTAAAAGAAAATACTCTCCAACAGCATTCCAGAGTAACTGGAGAGACTTTGACAGCCCAGGCCAGCACAGTGTCTGCAGCTGCCTCTCGACTTTCCTATATATTTTGAAACAAAAAAAAAAAAAGAAAGAAAATGCTCTAGACAAAAGACAATGAATTTCTAAACTCTCAGATTGGCTGGATTGCACGCAAAGATTATTGTTAGTGTGAAGGACCTCCTTTCTGTCCTTCCCTTCAGAAACAGGAGAGGCAGCTCCTGTAGTAAAAGCAAAGCTCATATTCTTCATTCTGAACATTGACAGTGTTTTACACTCTTCTCTGTTGTCTCCAAGGTGTGCTGTTTTAAAACTTGGATAAGGCTTGGTAATGGTTTCTTCCTAAGCTGCTTAAGATTTCAGACGTGTGTTGAGGGGGAGGGTAATTCCTAACAAAATTCCCTTTATTCATATTGAATTTAATCCTACCTATGGCAGAAGAACAGTCCCAGATCTCTATGTTTAAAAGACCAACAACAGGCCTGACTCTTCTAAAGTTCTACTCATCCCTGTCACTTCCACTCAGGCCCAAATCCAGGATATAATGGATAGAGAGTCTCATAGAAAAGGGGAGCCTGAACAGCTATACCTGACATTCCTCTTAATAAGAGTGGATAAGAAACATTGGGAGTATGTATGAAGTTTCTGCTATGTATTGATCTGTCAGAGTAATTAATTATCCAAAAAAAAACCTTCAGGGTTTGATATTTGGGACTATGTAGTACTTTTCAGTCTCTACCTCACACTGCATCACTGTATGTGCAATTTTTTTTGTTGTTGTTGTTTTTACATGACAGGGTTTCTCTGTATTGTTTTGGAGGCTGTCAGTCCAGCCTGGCCTCGAACTCACAGAGATCCGCCTGCCTCTGCCTCCCAAGTGCTGGGATTAAAGGCGTGCACCACCAACGCCCGGCTGTATGTGCTATTTTTAATCAGGATATTTTACCTTCTGCAGAATTTTATGAAATGTAAAAAGTTTTGTGTTGCTTATGAGCACATAAAATAATATTTGACTCAGATATGCCTATAGACCAGTTTGGCTATTCAAATGCTCTTTTATACCACAGACAGGTTTTTTTAATGTTGAAGATTAATGTGCACATACACAGTTATTCCCACTGCTGCCACAGAAAGATTGCAGATTGAAGCTCACGAAGGGCAAGACACTAAGGTGTTTTGAGACTCTCTCCTTACAGTTTGAGAACCCCTGGATTAAAGGGAACTAATATTCATCTCAAACTAAATATGCCCTTTTCAGGGACCAGGAAGAGTCATTTTTAAAATGCTAAAGCTTCCTGGGTAGTGGTGGCACAGCCTTTAATCCCAGCACTCAGGCAGCAGAGGCAGGCGGATCTCTGTGAGTTCAAGGTCAGCCTGGTCTACAGAGTGAGTTCCAGGACAGAGAAACCCTGTCATGAAAAAAAAAACAAAAAATGCTGAAACTTAATTTACATTGTTTATCATTTTAGAAAATAATTTTCCTGTATCTTGAAATGGATATGAGTAAAGGCAGATTATATACAGCTTTTACCTCTTTGTTGTTTTCTCTACAAGTTGCTAAATTAGTTCAAATCTAGCAAAATAAATAATCCTCCCAATAAACCTATGAGTTGGTTGGACTTTTTGTCAGCTTAACACGAGTTAGAGTTATCTAGGAAAGAGAACCTCAACTGAGAAAATGCCTCCATCAGATTGCCTGTACACAAGTCTGTGAGGTATTTCCTTGATTCACTATTAATAAGGTAATTTCTTGATTCACGACTGTCCACTTGGGACCGTCTCCTGGGCAGGTCAGTGCCTGAGTTTTATAAGAAAGCAGGCTGTGTAGAATATTCCTTTACACTGTGTGAAGATGTGTCGCTGTGATTGTTTTGATAAAGAAGCTGATTGGCCAACAGCTGGACAGGGTAAGTTTAGGAAGAAGAGCCAACTTGTGAATGCTGAGAAGAAGAAAGACAGAGTCAGGAGTCATGAGCAGATGCAGAGAGAGATGCAGGATGGACATGCAGTACTGGCAAAGAGTAGATACAAATATGGGTTAATTGACTGGCATACAAACGTACTTCCTGTGTCCATAGCACAAAGAGGGATGCTCTCTCAGCCTGGACTCTTAGGGGAGTGTCTGGACCCTGCCCTGAGTGAAATGACAGACTCTAGATACCCCTATGTGGAAGGAAGTGGCAATAGGGTGGGAGGCTGGGGGGGGGATGGTGAGGGTGTGCGGGAGGAGGGGAGGGAGAGGGAACTGGGATTGACATGTGAAGCAAGCTATTTAAAATTAAAATAAAAAAACAAATATGGGTTAATTGAAAATGTAAGAGTTAGCTAGTAACAAGCCTGAACTAATAGCTGAGCATTTACAATTCATATTGCGTCTCTGTGTCAGTTATTAATTGGGAACTGGTGGGCTGGAAAGAAACTTTCATTTACATGGCTGAGCAAGCCATAGGGAGCAAGACAGTAAGCAGCAATCCTCCAAGGCCTCTCCTTCATTTCCTGCCTTGAGTTCCTGCCTTGGTCTCCCTTGGTTGACTGTGACCAAGGATATATAAGCCATATAAACCCTTTCCTCACCAAGTTGGTTTTGGTCATGGTCTTTATCATACCAATAGAAAAGAAAACTAAGACAACCTAGAATATAGTTTCTTGCTAGTTTTCTCTTCTTAGCTTATGAAGTCCTTTGACAGTAGACAGCTGCTCATTTAGTAAAGGAGGAAGTTATTTGAATCTAATAACTTTTCTTCCCCCAAATATGTTAAGCTAATAGTAATGTGACTTCAGGTGAATTACCTCCAGCTTTCTGTAGGATGTTGGTTTTGTTGTTGTAGTAGTTTTGTAACATCACAGAATTATTTAGTTTTAGATTAGGGACAATGTCCAACCACGAAGGCTCACTTCGTGTAAAAATCAATTGGAGTGACCAAGTAATATTCCAATCTACCTTCCAAGTCCTTGTGAACTTGCAAGTATGGTCCTGTGACCAGCCTTGACTACTGAGGAGCTTAAAACACACACAATTCTGGTAAGTTTTCTCTACAGCGCTCATCCTGAAAATACCACGTGAAAACTGAGCAGACACTAATAGTGCATATGTTCTTTCAAGTGCGTGCTTAAAGCCCAGCATTGTGTGAAATGAGAGGCATTCGGAGTCATTTCAGCATGGAGTTTCATAAGATTGAACAAACACATGAGTCATCTGATCTTCGATTGTCCTATTTCTTGTCCAAGTACCAACCAAACACACATTTTTCTTCATTGTCTGTCCATTTAACTATCTATGCTGTGCACTGAGATAAGCACAATACAGTTGGGTGGTAGAAAGGAGCCCCGTGAGGAAGCCATTTGTGTCCCTGAAAACCAAAAAACATAGACAAAGATCATAATACTCATCACTAACAAGACTTGTTATGCTGGTAGAATTTGAAGGGGTGGATTCTGTTCCATTGTTGTTAGTTTGCTTTGTTTTGTCTTTAAATTTGAAGCTTTTGATTTTGTGAAACACTGTTTAAACAGATCTAAGTCTAAAATAGTATGTGATTAAGTGAAATGTAATCACAATAACCTAGAAGCTCTGTAAGTTTCCATTGCATTGTGATTAGTGGTGCATAGATCTGCAGATACCAGAGTAAGGGGTAGATGCCAACCTGCTGAGGAGGAAAGCCAAAGCCGATGGGCAGTTGGAGTCCCTCTTACCAGGGAGACTTTAAGTCCCTTTATATACAGACAGAGAAAGAAAAGGCGTACCCCCACCTTATCTGCTTAAGATCTGATTCTTGTGAAATTTTAATTTGTCTTGCATAAATTTCAAAAGGAACCTATGCATTTCAACTATATTGCATGCAACAAAACTAGATAAACTGAAAAACAAACTCGACTAAAAGTAAAAGAAACCTAAATTGGAAAACCAAAGTGTTTGCTTTTAGAGATAGACACACCACCCAAAGGGGCCACATTTTAGGGTCTCCGTTGCTAGCGCTACTCATCGCACCCTATCAGGCACTTGATCTTCTACAGCAACCCATCCAGTGAGGGAAAGGAGAAGGTGGTGGAGAGAGGAGACAGAATTGGAGTTCCAGGATCCATTCAGAGCAGGGGGTTTGGCCCACAGTGATCCCCTCCTCAATCCTGGCCAAGGCGGGTGCGCACTTGCAAGGCACTGCATCTTCGCAACAGCTTGAGCAGCTGCGGGTTAAAGATCGAGGCTTTTAATGCTTGAGTTCTCCCTTTCTGATGTTGTACTAAGAACACCTTTCCCGATGTGATCGCCGACTTGGAGGACGTCCAGCTCCTGCCCAGAAAGCACCAATGAAATGGGAAACTGTACAGTTGGTAATACTTATCACAAGAAGAAAAAAATCAAGCAAGCAAATTGCTGTGCCCTTGCAAATGTGCCTGGCTACATCCAAAAGATCAAACTTTCTTAAAGATGCACCTTGAGTGGCAAGAGCTCTGGATCCGACCCGTGGACTAGCAGTGTCCCTACTCCAAGGACCTCGCAGGCTGCTTGGGTCCCTCCAAGTGCAAGGCGTTCCCATCGTCTTCTTCAGACCCTGAAACCTGCCTGTGTCAGGCAGATCCCTCCTCGGAAAAGTCCAGACTCTGGATGGCACTCAATGTCGAGGCAATCAAGCAGCTCCTTTTAAACAGCCCAAGATCTACATTTAGACAAAAACAGATCCCAGTTCCCGGTAAAGGCATTTCTGCTCATCCTGTCACTTGTGACAGGAACGGAGGGAAACAGACTGCGGGAGAGGGAGACAGGAGAGAGGCAGAGGAAGGACGAGAGAGGGGGAGACCAGACGCGGGTGGAGACGTGAGGGAGGGGCGGAGACTGAAGACTGGGCCCGGAGGGGGACGGGGGAGGGGATGAGAGCGCGAGAGGCGGAGGGGCCTGACGAATATCCGCGCCCCGGAGCAGCGCTCGGTGGTTCTAATTAAAGCAGCGCTCGGAACCCGGGGGACCCGCCTGACGTCGGCGGCCGCGGGGATAAGAAGCGCCCGAGGACAGCGGGACTTGGAGCAGCAGGGTCGGCGCTGTCCCCGTAGGAGCTGTGCGTCCTGTGTCCCTG